AATTTAGGATAGACTCTTGAATTTTAAAGAGTCGATATAGGAAGAACGGATCATATAAACCCGAAGGAAAATATAATACAAGTCCAAACGGAAAAATATAAACAAGTCTAAATTGAAAACAACGTTCAAACCTATGATTGCGTTGGATAAAAACCGCAATTTTTATACGTGTGCATGTAAAACAAATTTCTTGGTAGAGGGGTCTAAATACAGCACAAACAACATTTTCCAAAAGACCAAAATAGTGAAAAAATATATTTTAACAAAACGCATTTGACTAACAGGTCGAACAACGGATGTTCTTAAACCCTGCTGACAGCCAATGGCGATTGCCAAATAAATTGATCACCAGTACAAAATGGATCTTAATATTAATTTAATACCAAACAGAAAACAATAAACTTGTGGAAAAGATGGTATACCACAAACACGAGGTGCAAAAATTTTATACACCATATCCGGATTTCGACAATTAATGTCTCTTCAGTGATGTTAGAAATCGAAACGGTATTTGGAAGGCCTTATAATTTACCTCAATTTAGGATAGACTCTTGAATTTAAAAGAGTCGATATAGGAAGAACGGATCATATAAACCCGAAGGAAAATATAATACAAGTCCAAACGGAAAAATATAAACAAGTCTAAATTGAAAACAACGTTCAAACCTATGATTGCGTTGGATAAAAACCGCAATTTTTATACGTGTGCATGTAAAACAAATTTCTTGGTAGAGGGGTCTAAATACAGCACAAACAACATTTTCCAAAAGACCAAAATAGTGAAAAAATATATTTTAACAAAACGCATTTGACTAACAGGTCGAACAACGGATGTTCTTAAACCCTGCTGACTGTCATTGGCGATTGCCAAATAAATTGATCACCAGTACAAAATGGATCTTAATATTAATTTAATACCAAACAGAAAACAATAAACTTGTGGAAAAGATGGTATACCACAAACACGAGGTGCAAAAATTTTATACACCATATCCGGATTTCGACAATTAATGTCTCTTCAGTGATGTTAGAAATCGAAACGGTATTTGGAAGGCCTTATAATTTACCTCAATTTAGGATAGACTCTTGAATTTAAAAGAGTCGATATAGGAAGAACGGATCATATAAACCCGAAGGAAAATATAATACAAGTCCAAACGGAAAAATATAAACAAGTCTAAATTGAAAACAACGTTCAAACCTATGATTGCGTTGGATAAAAACCGCAATTTTTATACGTGTGCATGTAAAACAAATTTCTTGGTAGAGGGGTCTAAATACAGCACAAACAACATTTTCCAAAAGACCAAAATAGTGAAAAAATATATTTTAACAAAACGCATTTGACTAACAGGTCGAACAACGGATGTTCTTAAACCCTGCTGACTGTCATTGGCGATTGCCAAATAAATTGATCACCAGTACAAAATGGATCTTAATATTAATTTAATACCAAACAGAAAACAATAAACTTGTGGAAAAGATGGTATACCACAAACACGAGGTGCAAAAATTTTATACACCATATCCGGATTTCGACAATTAATGTCTCTTCAGTGATGTTAGGGATCGAAACGGTATTTGGAAGGCCTTATAATTTACCTCAATTTAGGATAGACTCTTGAATTTTAAAGAGTCGAAATAGGAAGAGCGGATCATATAAACCCGAAGGAAAATATAATACAAGTCCAAACGGAAAAATATAAACAAGTCTAAATTGAAAACAACGTTCAAACCTATGATTGCGTTGGATAAAAACCGCAATTTTTATACGTGTGCATGTAAAACAAATTTCTTGGTAGAGGGGTCTAAATACAGCACAAACAACATTTTCCAAAAGACCAAAATAGTGAAAAAATATATTTTAACAAAACGCATTTGACTAACAGGTCGAACAACGGATGTTCTTAAACCCTGCTGACAGCCAATGGCGATTGCCAAATAAATTGATCACCAGTACAAAATGGATCTTAATATTAATTTAATACCAAACAGAAAACAATAAACTTGTGGAAAAGATGGTATACCACAAACACGAGGTGCAAAAATTTTATACACCATATCCGGATTTCGACAATTAATGTCTCTTCAGTGATGTTAGAAATCGAAACGGTATTTGGAAGGCCTTATAATTTACCTCAATTTAGGATAGACTCTTGAATTTAAAAGAGTCGATATAGGAAGAACGGATCATATAAACCCGAAGGAAAATATAATACAAGTCCAAACGGAAAAATATAAACAAGTCTAAATTGAAAACAACGTTCAAACCTATGATTGCGTTGGATAAAAACCGCAATTTTTATACGTGTGCATGTAAAACAAATTTCTTGGTAGAGGGGTCTAAATACAGCACAAACAACATTTTCCAAAAGACCAAAATAGTGAAAAAATATATTTTAACAAAACGCATTTGACTAACAGGTCGAACAACGGATGTTCTTAAACCCTGCTGACTGCCATTGGCGATTGCCAAATAAATTGATCACTAGTACAAAATGGATCTTAATATTAATTTAATACCAAACAGAAAACAATAAACTTGTGGAAAAGATGGTATACCACAAACACGAGGTGCAAAAACTTTATACACCATATCCGGATTTCGACAATTAATGTCTCTTCAGTGATGTTAGGGATCGAAACGGTATTTGGAAGGCCTTATAATTTACCTCAATTTAGGATAGACTCTTGAATTTTAAAGAGTCGAAATAGGAAGAACGGATCATATAAACCCGAAGGAAAATATAATACAAGTCCAAACGGAAAAATATAAACAAGTCTAAATTGAAAACAACGTTCAAACCTATGATTGTGTTGGATAAAAACCGCAATTTTTATACGTGTGCATGTAAAACAAATTTCTTGGTAGAGGGGTCTAAATACAGCACAAACAACATTTTCCAAAAGACCAAAATAGTGAAAAAATATATTTTAACAAAACGCATTTGACTAACAGGTCGAACAACGGATGTTCTTAATATATATATATATGGACCATCTGCAGCCTAACTCCAGGTTCGAGTGATTGCCCAAATGGTTATTACAATTCTTTTAGTAGGCCTGTTGTCGTTTCCCCGTGTCCATTCTCTATTCTAGACTTTGAAAACAAACACATTTTATGTGTATCTGACCATTTTCTTTTGCTATTTACAATGAACAATTCTTTACATACCTTTCTTCATTGTACTGGTTGCCATTTCCAGAAGTCAATATACACGTGGCAACATCATAACTCGCACGTGATAACGGAAAAACTATCTCGTAATTACGACATATTACGTCGTAATTACGACATAATGTGTCGCTATTACGACATAGCGATGTCGTTATCCCAACATGGCGATGTCGTTATAACGACGTAAGGTTGTCGTAATTACGACATAGCGATGTCGTTATTACAACATACTATGTCGTAATTACGACATCATTTTCTTTCGAATGACCCTTATCCGCTTCCTTACTGGTAATCTATTAATGAACTTAAATTTTTTTGACAGACAAATAATTATCTTTCTGCTTTCTGACCACTGTGTTTCCGACCTAAGATAAATATTTATAAGAGAAATATCGTTTTGCTAATTTTCTTCATATTTTCCGACATTTCCCAAGGCTATGATTGAAATACAAAATACCACGTGATAAACGTTCAGAAATGTTCAGTTTATTCTGGGATATTATATATTAATAAATTATTCCCAGATGTATTGTCACAATGCAAAACAGCACTCTGTTTTAGATACTACACACGTAACGCGCACAGTTACCGTCTCAAAGCATAAAGTATATAATGGCGTTATCATTATATTTGATATCTCATAAACATTCGCGTTATTAAAAACACATATGTTTTGTCAAAACTTCCAAAGCAAAGGTTCATTCGTTTTGTTGTCAATACGGAACGTTGCTGTGTTTCATTGTGAGCTGTACTTATATATCTTGCATGTTGTCTTTGTATACGTAACTGCATGTACATCCTCATTTTATTGTTGTTTTTCAGCCTCATTGTTGAGGTGGCTGACTAAGTTTGATTTATTTTGTTTTTCTACTGAACTTTTGTCCAGAACAAACGAAATAAATATTCGCCACTGTACGTTAAGTAAACAACACTCACTCATATATGTATTATATTATCTTTGGTTGTCTATTTGATTGTTAATGTGTTTTCCCAAAATTCTCCCGTTTTTCCAAAAAATTATCTTAAAATCCGTTGCACGTTACATGTATAACATATTTTAATTCAGGAAAAGAACAATTATACCAATCGTGAGACTTTTGAAAAACCTTTACACAAATAACATACATGTACACACTGTCCGGACATTTCCAACGCCCTTTAATGTGCCAAAATTAACAATGCTACACAACATTAAGTTTTTCCACTGTAAGAATTCCACCACGCATCAACAAAATTAAAAAAATGACCAAATATATCCGAGCACGTAAACAGACCCAAATGTCATACATGTTATTGATATTCGAACATCACTCGTAACGAAGTACTAAGAACTGCGCCATTATCACTAAATTAAATATGTTATTGAAACAAAAGTTTGTTTTTATTAAAGTAAAAACAAAATGTGTGTCCCAAGAATAACTAACCCCCTTTCACACAAAAGACGAATTGTCGGTGCCAAACTCTAAAAAAATATTACAGACTATAAACATATGTTTTGAGTTTTTTGCAGAGCCTACCTATATGTATTCTTACTGAGTGTATACCGGTATATAGAAGTATTATAAATTTAAAGTATTCACTTTCCATATTTACAACACGTGTTTATGGAATAACTTTCATTAGGTATGCGCATGACTTTAGTACGTTTAAAAAGTCAAAAATATAAAACTTTTGAGAGAATATAAAGCATTAAAAACACACAAAACCGTCATAGGTTAACTTTTCCACAGGGAGATATAATGTACGAAATACATGAGTAAACATTATACATGGGCACGTTTAACGTACATTTGTATTCCAGAGAAGAACATCAATACAGCGATATATCTGCGTTTTTATTTTTTTCAAATAATATCACACTTTGTTAGAGTCGTCTTCTACGAATCATCATCGACGTAGTCTTCATTGACTGTTCACCTTTCCACTGATTCCAACGCATTCCTTTGTTACCTTTTTTATTTCCTAGATACAGTCCGTTTAGATTAGCGTCATGACAGCTTCCATACCACCAAGCCCCTTTATAGATATCAGCACAATCTGCACTGCTATGGCTGTCATTATCTTTATCTTTTGTCGAGAAAGCCCGATTATTATGAAGCTTCAGAGCATCGCCTATTGTTTGTGAAAAAATCGAAAATGTAGACTCGATAAGGATGTAAATGAAAACAACCACATATTAACTGCGACAGTCCTGTATTATTCTAACAATATTCTGTAATATCGTATTAGTTACAACACTACTGATTCACAAATTAATTTCATTATAAAAGATAAATAAATTATCTGAAGTGAAAATGCTTATAAGCTGTAAATATACATAATTATATTTTATCTATTAATTAAATACATGAAGTACTAGATTTTATAACAAATAATGTACTGAAAACGAAAATAATTACATGCATTTTGTGTAGCTGTTTTGAAAACAGTTTGTATTAAACATATTTCATCAAGTTGAAATTGTATTTTATCTTCGCTTTCTGCAAATCACAAATGGACAATGTCGTTTGTTGCTGTATATCATATTTCTTTTTCGTCATTATTTTGTACATAAACCAGGCCGTTAGTTTTCTCGTTTGAATTGTTTTACATTAAATTTTGTCATTTCGGGGCCTTTTCTAGCTGACTATGCGATATGGGTTTTACTCATTGTTGAAGGCTGTACGGTGACCTATAGTTATTAATTTCTGTGTCATTTGGTCTCTTGTGGAGAGGTGTCTCATTGGCAATCATACCACATCTTCTTATTTTTTCTAATTTCATCTTCCATTTGACATATACAGCAAAAAATCAAAACATGGAAAAATATTTGTATTTTGAAAATTAGTATTCTTTTTTAATAGAAATATATAGAAAATAAAAGGATATGGTGTAAATGTACAGGGGACAAAGTCGCACACAATACATAGAAAAAATAAAAAAATATCAACGAACAGGGCTTTTATTCCTGTTCTTCATCTTGACAGTTGATGTAGGGTCTTCAACAATGAACGAATCATTCATACCCTACAACAATATGTCTTTTCCGCCAGTTCACACAAGTGATATATCTAATGATTCATACCGAATTTTTTTTAATGTGCAAGACTTTGATTTTGTACATATGTTAGATTTAGATACGTTTTTATACATGATTTCTGAATGCAGTGATTACTTGAGTATCTAGTGCGTTGCTTGTTTGCATTGTCACGATCTCCAAAGCCAGTTTAATTCCAAACAGTATTTTCAATTTCGTATTAATTATTAAACCTACTCATTATATTCTTGAATATAAGATCAAGTGTACTTTCAACGATCGGATAAAAACTGAGGACCAATAGCTTAGTGTATTCAAAATGAATGTAAAAGTATAAAGATTACCTGCCGTTCCACTATAACCATTCACTGTCAGTTTGTAGTTGGTTGACTTGTCACCGATGTAGAAGTTAGAATATTTTGCATAGGCGTTATCGCCATTAAAATCCTCCAAGTTGACTCTGAGCTCATACTGTCCTTGAGATGTTAGTTTATATAGCTTGTCATTACCTTTAAAAATCAAAGTAAAGGAAATGAAATATTGAGATGAACATGTACTTTCATCAAATCCAATTTTACATTTAGATTAACACACATTATTCAAATTTATCATTACGAAATAAATAATGATAGCTATCCAACAAATATAAAGCGGATTTTGGCACTTATATGTCATCGCATAGCCTTTTACAATGAGTAAAACAAAAACCATAAAGCCAGATTTAGAAACACCGACATGACAAAACATGAAACAATTCAAGCAAAACAGCAACGGTCTTATTTATAACAAAACAATGAATAAAAAAAAAAAAAATATGACAGACAGCAACCAACGACAGCCACTGAAATACATACATTGTACTCCTGACTTGAGAAAGACACAAGTAGGATGTGGCGGGGTTAAGCATGTTTATAAGCACTCAACCCTCACCTGGGACAATGGTGTAAGAGCACAACATAAAAACAACAGTTTGTTTTAGAAACTCATGAAATTAACACACATACTCTGTAAGATGTAAAAGCGGATAAAGAGCAAACAATAAAAAAAAAAACAAAAAAAAAAACGTTTAACTAAACAGTACAAATAAAATAGGAACAAATGCATAAACACGAAGCTGCAGTCGTAACAGGGTTAAAATTGAAACGAACATTTTTCATTCTCTTTAATTTCAAGAACCTAGAAATAGTTCTTGTGAGGATAATTTATTTTGCAATTTTAAACTATGTTTACAATATATTATCGGGCATTCGAATGTTCTTGAGTGGTCAATACAAACTGGTACCCTTTGTCAGCACAGTTTTTAAGTTTCAGCAGATTTCATGGACAATTCATTTTTTTTAATTTGGAAATCTCCAACGATTTAACAAAAGTGATAACGGATTGCTCTAAGGAGCTGCATCATACGACTATTCATCTGCTAGTGGAAGCTTTAAAGTTATTAGGTGAAAATACTAACCTAACCAGAATTCCGTTCTCAGATTACCAAATCCGTTTACATAGTCTACCCATCCTCGGTAGAAATCTACTTTACCGTTTTGTCTTCGCTGAAAAACCTAAAATTTAAAATCCTTGATACTATATAAAAGAAACGTAATATAATGAGGCGTTCTCCAGGTTACTTGTGCATTTATTGAATGAGACAAATACCTGTATTTTAAATGTGCACATATATAATCATACAAAAATACGGAACTTACCGCCATGATAATCATATACATGTATATCAGTATAAATATAAATATTTTCGATAATTGAAAAGCGAGGCCTGTCATGCACTTTACAGTGGAGTATTGTATTATAATAAATAAACGAATTTAATGCATTGGTCACACGATTCCTTTACTATTTTATTAACTAAGTCACTAGCTCCCGCTTCCTCATTTAATTTTCAAATATTCTTACTGTCCACCCTCCACCATCCGTCTCCATATCACAGTACGCCTTAAATCCAGCGCCAACTGCCGAGTAGATTTTGTAGACTCCACTTCTGTAATGTTTTCGGTATAAATCCGAGCAGTCCCGTACTTTAGGCTCTGTATGTGTAGAATCATATGAGAAATATCAGAGCAAATGTCATGTCAGTATACAGTTAAAAGATTACTACATATGGGTAAAGCTATAACATTGAACTTCACCAATTGATCTAAAAAACTAAAAAGGTTTTATTTTTTAATTTTATCAATTTTGAATTGTTTGTTTTTTTATAAGATTATTTTGTTTTAATATTGCCAATATAAAAAGGCATAGAATAACTAAAAAATCAATTTATACCTAAAACTAAATTTGAAGTTATTTAGTTTATTTGTTTTTACCTGAATGCAGCAAAGACCTGTGTTTACCAGTTGCCAAGATGCTAAGTACTCGTTCAGCCGTTTTTCCATAAAAGCAAACACCTTAATAAAAATATTCAATTTAGAACTAATAAGAACAAAAATAAAATCAATGCAAAGATACAAAATATAAACAAATACCCTTTGAAACGATTAAGAAACCAATGAACAATATAACTATTACGAGTAACGTTTTGTACAAAAAAATTATAGAGTCAAACACACCAATTTGTTGCTATTATAATTACCAGAATCAGAAGTCGATGTAAGTTGATTTCTGTCTGCATCTATTTTTGCTACAATCACCACCAATACAAAACCAAACCACATTGTCAGCGGTTAATGAATGTTGGAACGATACACCTTGAACGAAGCTGGCAAAAAACTGAAACTTGTACTTGATTTATACATCAAATTTTAATGTCAAATGTTGCGTGACTTATTATTGCAACAGACTGAACTGATAAACATTTCTAGGAACAACTTTCAATTTCTACGAAGTTGTCTTGCTTCCTTGTATATTCATAGGATATTATACTTTGACACATACTTTAATGTGTATATTGTTATATGCCCTATTAAGATATATAACAATCAATATTCGTTTCCTAAATTGCAAAGATACTAATATTCATATATAGGTGTTAGCATTTATGTCCAAATCATTTTAAACGTTGCTTAGTTTGGGGAGTTATTCCTTTTTCCAAATCTTGGTTACGCATCTGCCCTGTTTTCTTTCTTTCTGGGTGCATGCGATTCTGATTATACACACTCCATATTTGTCTGTAAAACCTTTTACATGATAACCATGATTGAACTGACTTCAATACACGAGCTTGAACTCTGCTTAAATTGTATGACGTATTCACATGCAGAGTGGTGCTTTATGTCTATTTTATTTATTTTAGTTGTTTTTGTGTCTCGTATCGATCATTTGAGATAATCGAATTGCTACTGATTAGTACAGGTTGTACTTATGTTGTTCTCTTACACCACTGTCCTAAGCTAGAAGGAGGGTTGAGCACTAACAAACATGTTTAACCTCACCACATTCTTTATGTGCCTGTCCCAAGTCAGGACCCTGTAGTTCAGTGGTTGTCGTTGGTCCATGTCTGTCATATTTCTTTTGTTATTAATTAAGCCGTTAGTTTTTTCGTTTAAATAGTCTCATATTTTTCGTGTCGGACCTTTTATATATTGTCTCATTGGCAATCATACCACATCTACTTTTTTGAATGGTATATGACAAGTAACTTAGAGATACACCTGTGCTAGTTACATAACTAATGAAGTGTTGGGTGTTTATAACTGAGTGTTGTTTTCATCATTTTAACCCTCATGATCTTTCTCCTTTGCATTTCCCCAAAATGTCCAATTATCTATTTGTCTGAACATTGACCTATGAGATATTTATTAAACATTGGTAAAAAAAATAAGAAGATAAGTATATGATTGCCCATGAGATAACTCTCCACCAGATATCAAATGACGTATATGTATTTCGCGTTTAATCTAAGAATACTGGTTTAAATACAATTTTATCATAATATATGGCAGAAAAGTCTCCTTCATTATTTCTTCAATCCGAAGCGAAACTTAACAAAAGGCTTGAAGGACTCGTGTTCAGAAAGGTTTTAGAAAAAGAGAGAACAAATACCAAAGGAACAATCAAAGATAATAAGCCACAGAAAAACAACACCATATCAAAATGAGTCTACAAAACATTACACAGAAAACAGCAACACGCATCCAACACAAAACCGGTGGTGAACTCATGTGCTCCGGAACAGTTATTTGTTCCTGTTCTACTTTTGGCACGCAAGTAGTTGTTACTTCACAAAGAATATTCACGTTTTACACTCTTTTCTGAATATATTTGAAAAAAAAATTCATAAGTATACACCAATTTGTTATCTTTGAAAAAAAATTATTATTAAGTTTGTTTATTTCAGTGAAATAAAAACAGTAAGCCGCCAAAAAAACTCACTTCCCAAGGAGCAGCTATTCGACTTTGATGTAAAATTTAAACTTAGGGAATAACTAATATTATGTGTAAAAGACTGATTCATGCAATACATCTTGTTAACACCCAAAACACGTATTTAGGCATATCCAAGACATAATTACTGCTTACTGAAAATAAAGATGTATCACACTCAGTGGAACAGTGGCTATTACATTACAGAAATACTTTTTCTAAACTATTCTTCTCTGTACTTCTTCAATTTAATACAAAAATGTTTGTGTACTGATGAAATGAATACAGGCGCCACTAGTGGATAAGGATCTGCTTACCTTTCCGGAGCACCGGAGATCACCCCCGGTTTTTGGTGGGGTTCGTGTTGCTCAATCTTTAGTTTTCTATATTGAGTTTTGTATACTATAACAGTTGTTTGTCTTTTCTTCTTTTTTTATCCTGGCATTGTCAGTTTGTTTTCGACTTATGAGTTTGAATATCCCTTTGGTATCTTTCGCCTCTATTTTATAAATAATATGAGTTATTTTGCATTTCTGTCTGTGGACTTTATTGTTTGATTTTGATTTTATTTTGTGTCGACTATAATGCCGGTTTTATAAATTCTAAATTGATATTTCTTAATGAAGCCTTACAAAAAGTAAGACAATTTAGTTCTCTAAAATCTAGTTTAACCATGTCACGTGTCAATTCTGAATCAAGAATCCCCCGTGTTGGTAGAGTTCCACGCACTCTGCAAGTCATGAATCCTTACAACAACTCTTTGAGGGGTTATTCAAGACCCATTGCAAAGCTTACATTCAGTCCAGTTTCCAAGATGCCGTAAATTTTATCGAGAGTTCAAATTTCCATTCCACATCATAGTTGGAATACCTCACAGAAACAATTGATAATTTTCTTCTTGAATATGCATGGAATAATTGCCACTAGATTTTATACAAAAGACAATAAATAAATCGTTTGGCCAAGAGTTGCCTATTTGCCTGCAACTTAAAATTTGGATTGATCACTTAGTATATATTAATACTTTGAAAATAAAAATGAGGAGATGTGATATGATAGCCCATGAGACAACTATCCACCAGAGTTAAAATAAAGTGGTAGTATGGATATAAGTTGGACATTCATTCTTTCCGTCAAATCTGTCTTTGGTAAATCTTAACCAGACAACACACATTGTTGCGAAGACAAAAACACTGACAATAGACCATTATAAAATCCGGTATTTGGAGTCTATACTATCAATGAATTTTTTTCCTTGATAGTCACCTGTCTAAACGGAAGTATTCCAACAAATACGGACGCATTTTTGTTTGTACCGAAATTGTTTGAAATACTTTATTTCTTTTAATTACGTATTTTAAATAAGAGTTATGCTAAGTTGGTCGAATTTCGGATTCATATCTTATGCCCCTGTCACGCAGCAAGCACTGTTACATATATTGTATAAGGGAAACTCTTCCACAAGCAGGTCTTTTTAAACCCTATTGGAGAAGAATCATCCCATAGAAACATATACTAGGTTATGCCTTCAGATCTACTAATATAATCATTACTATTATAGGTGTAAAAACCCAATATGTTTTTTAAAATTAATCTTCACATTCAGAATCTCTAAGGGCAATTTCAGGCCCAGAATTATTTTGTTAAGTACCATGCATGATCTCAAGCGTCCTACTCGTGTCTTAAGTACTTAACTGTATATTGGTATCGTGATGTTTTCACAAATAATATTAGACCGTTGGTTTTTCCGTTTGAATGGTTGTACACTAGTAATTTTTTGGGGCCCTTTATACCTTGCTGTTCGGTGTGAGCCAATGCTCCGTGTTGAAGGCCGTACCTTGACCTATATTGATTTACTTTTATGAATTGTAACTTGGATGGAGAGTTGTCTCATTGGCACTCATACCACATCTTCCTATATCTATATACCCTTACTCAAAATGGAAATTCTGATCAAATGTGTCTTTAAAAAATCTGTTATGTTCTGGTATATTTGGACTAGTTACAATGTATGTTTGCTTTATGTTGTTGCATTTCAACTTTATATCAGATTCGGCTGTCACCATCAAATTAGTTTTGGTTTCAACAAGTTCAGGCAAAGTTGGACTTAGATAGATTTGGCTATTATTTTTAGGCACAGAAATATCTATATTTTTGGTATGAAAAAAACAAATATTTCTAAATTACATGCAGATTCCAAAATAATGCTGATACATGTAAATGGAACAATAAAATTATTTAGATATTCCATGGTTTGATTTCATTTTGTTACTGTTACAACTGAACAAAAATGTGAAATAAATTTTACAAATTGTCATGGTCTTATGCGATATTCGTTCCATAATTTCAAATTGATTTATTGTAATGTATTTTATATTTTTATATAATAAATATGTATATTGACCAGACAGATGTTCAAAAACAAATAAAGGTGTTATTATTTGAGTTCATATTTCATTACAAAACTGTGAAAATATCACTTAGTATAGATTGCCCCACCCCGAATAACCGCATGTCTGGCTTTCATAAATAATAACTGAACTTTAAACAAAACGTCCGTTGTCATATATGTTTTACCTAGTATAAACTAAATTTCTGCCTGACAATAAACATGGCCGCCATGAAAAACAAAAAAGATAGAGAAAATGCGCAAAATGCCAGAATCTACCCTACTTCCTGTTGTCTCAAAAAAAAACAGATTCATCCTTAGGGAGCTTTTGTCCCATAATTGACAATTTGTATGCCCCACCGCAGCGGAAAGGCACTAAGTGTTACCATTGTCTCTCTGTATGTCCGTCCGTACGTACGTCTCGAATTTAATTTCCGTTCTCTAACTTTAGTTTGCCTCAACCAAATGTTATGAAACATATACACAATGCTTATTAATACAAATCACAGATCTATTATGAATTTGGGTGGCGTTACTTTTACTGTTCTAGAGTTACATGTATGCCCCTTCACAAATAGAAAAAATGCTAATTTTTTTTAGTTTCTGTTCTCTAACTTAAGTTTGCCCCAACCAAATGTTATGAAACTTATACACAATACTTATAATTACCAAAAAATAGATCAAGTTTGAATTTGGGTGTCATCACTTTTACTGTTTTTGAGTCATGTCCCTTTATAACGTTATATGCAAGCGGGAGCATCATCTGTGTCCCTTTAACACATTCTTCATTTATTTTATGTTTGTTGCCTTTTGTCTGAAAAACTATAATAGATAGGTTGAATATGATAAATGCATTTATAATCAGCAATTCAAAATTGCAAAAATTCCAATATAACCAGGCCATTTGATGATTGCTTAAGGAGTTATAGCATTAGTTAGTACAATAAAGTGTATATCTTTGAACAAATAGTCGTTTTTCAAACTAAAATTACGTAAGCGGTTTTTTTTAACATCGTCAG